ATAAACTAAAATTCGATATTGGTATTACTGAAGGAGAAGAAATTGTTGTTCTTGAAACTTTTTTATTTATTGATAATAATTTTTGTCGCTTATTAATTATGATTATGATATTTGATGGTGTTGTTGATGTTGATGTGACTTTAGGTTGACCTGGTGGGACATAGTGTGGATGAAAAGGAAGTTGGATAGTACTTGCATAACCTTTTATCCTTTTGTTTGATTCTTTAATTATTTTTGTGAGTTTTAGTTTTTTCATATAAAAAAACATTGAAAAAAAAATTGGGAGTAAAACACCCTTCGTAGACTTTTCCAAAATTAGACTTCTTTGCGTGTAACAATATTTTTATTTGATATACAAGTAATCCTGGATATAACGACATTCTCGGGGCCATAGTAAAATTTATTCCAATTGTCGTTATAACAAAATAACGTTATTATTATGTGGCCGTTATGTCCGGTAGTATTTATGTTGCGAAAAAATGGCGCGTGAATAAAACTGTATATCTTAACAATTACACAACACAAATAAATAAAAATAGATTCATAGATTTAATTAAAATTTGTACTGGTTTCTGAGGACTTTTATCCCATTCTCCAACAATAAATCCCTAGTATCTTTAGGCAATCTCCTTTCTAAATGATTTGACTAGGTTTCCAACAAGTCAAACATTTACTTGTACTGTTTTTATTTTTGGTCTTGCTGAAGATGCATTTGGAAAATTCTAGTAATTAAAACTGGACATACCCAGTAAAAGTTAACCGATAATTACATTTATTTATTTTTTGAAAAACCCCCCAATTTTACTTTTTAATGTCATTGACAAGAATTTCCTATATTAAAATATAGAAATTATATATATAATAAGCTAGAATGACCAGTTTAAATGTAATAACAATCGATCTTCATTTTATTTTATTATAACTATGGGCGTCTTCACATGTGCAAATTTTCGGGTAGAATTAACATTTGTTGCACGAATGATTCAGGATCGGATTATATTTTAATCTTAGGATTAAATAATCTCCTCTGTCAATTATTTTACCAAATATTTCAATCTCTTTGGAATCAGAACTCGAAGAAGAAGAGGATGAATTGCCTTCTAATTGATTATTTAATAATACAAGTGCAGGAACTGCGCTAGATAGTAAAATATACATATATATATATATACTTGTAGTAAAAAAAAATTGTCGATTTAAACGTGAAATTAAATTTTTAATCTAATCCAAGTCTCCAAAAATTAGCACAAGTGAAGACGTTAATTATTTTGAAAAAATATTAATATGTGCATAAGAAAAAGTAAAAGGCAAACCAAAAAAATATTATAATGGTCCAACGACAAATTTTATTATTGAAATTAGTACTATTATTATTAAACTTAATAGTTGCTAATTGAACAATTATTATTATTATTATTGTCGTTGACTAAAAATTGTTGTTATATTATTATTACTGTTATTGCCATGCACTATTGAATCATTATTATTGTATTATTATCATCATTGTTAATAATACTCCACGAAAATAAAAAATTTAGCCCGAGTCGTCATTGTTCTGAATATTAACATTGTCACTGTTATTTGAAATATGCAGAATGCTTATAGCCATCTTTCAAAAAATCGATGGGATCCATTGTCATTATAAACTTGTAATAGCTCTTTCTTGTAATCCTTTTTTAATATTTGGGCACTTCCTTGTGGGACAGTAAGCGAAAATTTTTATTACTACACATACACTATGCATGTGCACTATGTTCATTTGACACTACGCACGCTGTGCGCACTTGTGCGAAAAAAAATCAAGTTTGCACAAACAAAAGAAGCAAGGTCCATTTTTCGTGAATTGCACATTGAAATGTAAGTTCATTAGATGACATTAATGCCGATAATGATGACATAGTGCTGGTAGTGGTGTGGCATTATTATTATGATTTTTTGGATTGTTGTTGCTGATACTACTACTATATACTACTAACGATGTTATGAAATCATCAAAAAGGACAAACTCCTGAATGATCATCATTGTACCCATAAAAAATCCTCTCATTGGCTGTTTAATTGATGCGCAGATCAAATATTTTTACGTGAAAATTAATTATGATGGAAGAAAAACCTCAATTCAATAGCTATAGTGATGATGATGATATTGATGATGTTAATTTGGAAGACTTTAAAGATTTACAAAAGAAAGAGGAAGAACAAGGATTTGATAATAATTATGAAACAAAAAAAAGATCAAGCAAACATCGGTATGTTTAAAAAAAAATTTTTTTAAATTTATTTTATTAAATGTATATTAATAACATATTATTTTACTCATTGAAAGACCAATGGAAATTACATCCAAAAAAGCAGTTGGAAGATTTCGTCAAGTTGTTGAACTTTCTAATAATATCAAGGTAAAAGGGATATTTCAACAATAATCATAAGCACATTTCAATTTATAATAATAATAATAATACTATTATTATTAATTGATAAATTAGAAAAATCGAGATCCAAGGTTTGACAATTTATCAGGAAAATTTAATGAAGAATTATTTGAAAAATCTTATGAATTTATAGAAGAATATAAAAAATCAGAGATTAATGAAATTTCTAAAAGAATTGAAAAAGAAAAGGATATTGAAGAAAAACAAAAATTACAACAATTGTTAGATAAAATGGTAATTAATTTTTTTGAAAAAACAATTATTATTATTATGTCTATACAAAATAAATAATTATTCTTTGTGGGGGGTTGGTTTATACAGAAGTCAAAATTAATTAAAGAACAAGATCATAGGTATAAAAGGCAACTAAAGAATGAGAGGAAGAAGAAAGAATTAGAACTTGTTGGTAAAGGAAAGAATCCTTATTTCTTAAAAAGATGTAAGTTATTTATTTACTTGTTATTTTTTTTCATAAAGATCCATCATAATATTATTCTAATTATTATAATATCTAAATCTAATTATTATGATTATGATTTTATAAAAAAATCAAACAGCCGAAGAAAATAAATTGGAATTAATTGATAAATATAAAAAAATTAATAATAATAAAAAGAAATTAGATAACATTATTGAAAAACGTAGGAAAAAGAATGCATCAAAAGAAATTAAGCATTTACCTTTTAAGAAAAGACGAAAACTTGACAGATGAATAGATATACATATGAATGATTTGATATAATTTTTATTTAAAAAATACATGATTAATTATTAAGGATCTGCGGGTTTAAAAATATATTATATAATCTAAAAAATATATGATAATTACTGTAAATATTTTTTCTTCCATTAATATTTTTTTTTTGATAAAGTTTTTTCTCTTTACACATTAATATATATCATGATTTCCTTGAAACCAAGGTGAAAAATAAAATAAAATTTTATTTAATTTATTATTTTAAAAGAACAGAGTTAATTTCTTTTGTTAATTAATGTGAATAGGACCGGAAATTTCTAATTGAGGTCCCAAGTCAGTGTGCGGTGCCAACCAAATTTGGTAATTATCAAAAATCAAAAATCTGCCAATAATTACCAAATCTACTGCTTAATGCTACCATCCTTGTATGAATCATATATGAATTGATCGTTATGTCATTTCAATTAAAAATATGTGGAAAGGCCATACTCATAAAAAAATCATCTCTTGCAAATTCTCCTTTGACTCTGCTCCTAAACAAGAAGCTAGTCTAAAGAAAAGAAAATAGAAAAAAAATACCTCCAATAAATTGTAAGATCTGCAAACTCTGTTATCAATTAGCAAACAAAACTGCAAAAAACAACCTCCCAGTCTTGAATTCTTGATTATTTTCTTCACTTGAAGTGCGAATTACTTGGATGGTATGGAATTGAAAATCTAAGTCAACTTGAAAACAATTACATAGTAATAGTAAAAATCAACTTTGATCTTATTGACCAGATCTGCAAACAGTCGGTTTCATATTATATAATATGGATATTGCAGAAGACAATGATCAGTTGATAAATGATCAAGACAGTGTTAGCATTTTTATATGTCCAATTAATTTTCAATTGGATTTGTCTTGTCCAATTGTCCAATCCAAATCCAATTGGCGCAGTAGCTATTTGGACATTTGAAAATTCTAAATTCTAACATGATATAAAATATAATGTTTATTTGGAATTAGAACAATGAAAAATAACCTCATTCTTTAATTAATGATTTTTTGTTTTGTTTTTTTATCTCAGGTAATAACAATATATCTGATGCATCCACATCAATGTCAACAACATCATCAACATTGCTAAATAAAAACATCATAAATTTGACTTTGGATTCTTTTCAAAGCAATAATACTAATAAGTATGATATTGAGAATTTATGCTACATACTCCTACAAAATCTGAAGAATCATTTGCTTCATATAACTCTATCTAATGGTCTGGCCTTCAAGTGAAGAAGTAAAGTCCCTTTTCAAATGGTTGAATCCAAATAGAAAGGCTCCTTCTGGAAGAATTTTGAATGGTGTATCTTTTAAACATAATCCAGTTTGTGTCCAAATTACCTAATATAGTAATTTGGACACATTGGACTGTCCAAATATGCCAATGTGACTTTGTTACATCATGTCCAATTCCAATACTAATTAGACATTTGGATCCAGATATTGGACACAATTTGGACATTTTGGACATTTGGACAGATTTGCCAACACTGGATCAAAATGATTGGGAAGTAAAGAATCCTAAAACCAATGGCACAGTTAAACAGAAGAATGCTTACCAGAGTTTGAACGTTGCTTGTAAAGAATTAAGAGAGATGTGAGAGAATATTATGCTAAAAGAAACATTCCTTAGGCAGTTATGTAAACAGAAAAGTTATTGTAATAATATTCTCAAAAGTGTTAAGACAAAGAAAAAGAAATCTATACAGAAGTCACAACCAAAGATTACCATTTCAATATGGTCACACTCTACTGTTGAACATTTTGGATATCTTTAACCTTGTCACCAATTGCTGAGGAAAGAATAGACAAGTGGTTTTAGTGCAAGATGAGCTAAGCATGTGGTTTGACTTTTACTGAGATTGAATCACATGTTAACCTTCCTTTGGGATTAAAGATGACAGTGGTACTGAGTATGTATATTGATGAAGAGAGTCAACACACATCATATCATCTCCTCCTTGTCTTGATGAAATCAAACTTCCACATTCTTTAAAATTACAGCTCCTATATCAACATACCCAAAAACTATATAATAAAACATTGAGAGAATTCTCTTAAAAAATTGGAGAATAAGAAGAAGGCCTGTGAGTTATTCAGGATCTTGCATAAAAGGAGAATTCCAATAAAGCAGCTCAGATCATGTCAGAAATTGATGCAGCTCATAGCATCTATCAAGAGCTTGCCAAGATCCGAAGAACTTTGAATGTTCCAAGTTTCAGTTGAAGAATTGATGCAATAAACAAAGAGAACATGTACAATGCTTGGTGTTGTAGATAGAAATCATATAAGTGAACATACCAGAAAAAGGCTTGAGATAAATCATCATCTATATCATCACCTACACCAAATGCACCAATTGGAATAGCTGGCATAGGAATTGATTATCATATAAAAGGCCACGCTCAAAGATGTGGATATCATTCCTCACAGACTTGTGTAAGTATGTGATGCTGCTGAGCATATCGATCCATTATTCATTTCATTCAAGTATGGCTACACTACAAAGCCTCGGGATTTTCATTCAGCAACTTCCATTGCTATTGCTGGTGCATCCAGACTGATCTCAGCTTCAAAAACTAACACACCTACACCAACCATGAGTGCCAGTCAATTTATACTAGACATTCAACAACACACTCTCAACACCAAAAAGGTCCAATAAGAGTCTCTCCTGGCCAAGGAGATTTTACTGGATATTCATTATATGAGTTCCATTTGTTAAGTAATATAATGTTAATAGGTAAATATAATCAGATTAATATATTAATACATAAAAAAACCATTTTAATATTTCTCCTTGAATCATCATCACCACCAATATATAAAATAATAAAGAAAAAACTTTAGGAATGTGTGTACAAAATAATAAATAAATACTATAAATTATTATGTATTTATGTAGATATTTATAAGTTATATTATTATTATCAAGAGGAAATAATTATCATTATTAGTAACTATAGTTCTCCTGACTAAAATTAGGATCTTGAATAAAAGCTGATAATACTTTACTTCCAGTTTGCAAAAGAGGATGACCAGCGACACTAATAATAAATTAAAATAAAAAATTAATCAATAAGTCAATGACTTGATTTTTTTTGACCCTGATGTAAGTCACTCGAGCTTCTAATCAAAATCTCAAATCATAATCATTAATTTACTTTTTAAGTCTAAGGAATTAGAGCTACAAGCAAAACAAATCAGGTTTCAAAAATAAGAAAAACTTGTTCTAGTAAATAAATAAATAAATACATTTGTAAAAATCTTTCCAATCCTTCTCTACGATGTTCAATAATATCATCTGAAAAACGATTAGTGAAGACTTTTCCTGGTAACGATGGAATATTAACTCGAGATGATTCTCTTTCAAGGACATCACGAAACCATTCAAAATCACTGTATCTTCTTCTTACAGATGATTGTTTTAATTTAAACGTAGGAAGATTTGTCTAATTAATGAAAGCGAATGATATATATATTGATATATATATATTGTATATGATATAGAATAATTATTAAGATCATATTATATAATTATTCCCAATATATATATATAATTTGAACATTATAATATAATATAATAACTGTTATTGACCCGACAAACAATTTCATAATCAGTATACATTTTACGACCAAAACCTATTTTTTTAGATAATATAAATATAATTATATAATTGAGTTACTGTATCATGATTTTCTAAAATTCTGTAACTTTTCAAAAAAATACCATGCGTTTGAGGATTCCGCACTTCAATTTCAAGAAAATTTTCAGGAATACCATAAATTTCATCAATTGTTTGCTCTTTCATTTGGAGTCTTGATATTGCATCAAAGTTTTTAATAGTTGGAGATGAAGGATCCATTGTTTAAAATTAATTATTTTATTTTAGAAATAAAATTTAAAGTTACGCTTGTCATTTGATAAATAGTATTTTTTTCTCACGTGGCTTAAAATGATTCATAATCACGTTATTTTTTTGACCAAATGCATAATTGGTCGGATAATTTTATGGTGAGCATTAGTTGAAATTGGTCATTTAGAAATGGATGGGTGAAAGATATAATCATCAAGAGGCTGCAAGATGAAAACAATGATATAATTACTAAAAAAATCTAGAATTTTTGTCTTCCATCACACACATCCATTTACTTTAAGCATCAAACAGATCTCATCTAGAAAGAAATTCAGCAAGTTCTATAATAACAGTTATAACAAAAATTCGGTTAATTATATTCATGAAAAGGTTACATGTTATCATTTAAATCTTTTTTAATTTTAGAAATAAATTTTCATCCATCTGATATGACGTGATGATTAATAAATATAATCTAGAAAAGATATTTTGAAATAAATAATAATTTCAAGCGACTTCAAAATTCACAGTCACCTAAAAAAAGAGAAATTAATTAATTTTTAATAAAAATTTGTGTTATTAGTAAATAATTTACTTTATAATTTTGACTTATATATAATTTTACCTTCTTGATTAGATGTTCACCATATATTACTGAATCGTAATGTTTAATTGGATCTATTTTAAGACATTGTTCAATTGGATCAATCTTTGCATCAAAATTTGGTTCATAAAAAAAAGGAACTCTATAAATAAAATATTGTTAATGGTAATAGTAAGACTAATAGTAATAGTAAATATAATAATAGTGATTATCATCATTACATTAAATTAGTTACAACTTACGAAACTCGATAATCATCACTTTTATGAATTACTCTATGTAAAGTGCTTTGATATAAGTTATTTGTCCAAATCTATTTTTTTATAATTATTAATTAATTATCGATTTTCAATTAAATTTTAATGACTATTAAAAAGCTGATTACTTACATTTAGCATATCACCAATATTTACTACAAATGCATCTGGTATAGGATCAGCTTGGATCCAATCTCCATTTTTTGTTCTAACTTCCAATGCTCCTTTAATATTATCCTAATCAATCAAATCAATTAATAAATAATAATCATATAATTTGATATTTTTGTAATAAAAATTTTTTTTTACCTGGTTTAAAAAGGTTAGACAGCTTTACGAACAACAATAATAAAAATAATGAATTATTAATAATATTAAAACTAAAAATTATACCAGAGAAATAATTTAATTTACCCATAATCTATAAATATAATAATATGAATTAATAAATCATAATTATCAATATAGTAATTATGATAAAAATAATAATTATACCAGTATGTTCGCCACAACTAAATCCTACTCTATCCGTGCCTCTTGAACTCCTAAGAGATGGATATCCGATAATTCTCATCACCCTAAATCAATCAATCAATAAATCTCAATAATATTATTTTATTTTTCCAAAATCACAATTCATTAATTCTAATACAAAATTAATTACCAAAATGAATCATCTAAATATTTTACAAAATAATTTTCTTCTAGACCTAATCCTAAAGCAATTGCACTCATGACTTTGGCCCCTAAATCTTTCATATATTCTATATACTCCTCAAATACTTTACGAAATTCTGGTGGGTGTTCTGGCCATTTATTTTCACCTTTCAATGGCAAATTGCCTATTACTAATGGATGAGTAGGTGGAATAGGTTTGTAATAATCAAGTGCCTACATAAAATTTATTTATTAATTATTAGATATGTCAAAGATAAGATAAAATAAATAAATGCTTTACTTCGTGCCAATCTTTTTGATATCTTGTAACGTTTTCTCCAAGTCTTTGATAACCTCTACATTGTTTGATTATTATTATTATAAGTAATTTAATTATTTTTATATAATAATATTTATTACTTTTATTACTTTTGCAAATTACCTATAGTCTTCATTAGAAATACTAAGTTTATTTTTTTTTTCCTGTGATAATTTAAAGAATTCTCTACCCAAGTTCAAAACATTATCACATATTTCTTTCGGTACATTATGACCTTTAATATAAAAAAATCCGTTTTTCATACATGCTTCATGAATTTCTTTGGCTGTTTTTAATTTTAATTCATCAACTTCTTGAGTTTTTTTTGTTGTTGTCGTAAATGAAGAAATATCAATTATCGGTAATGTAAAAGTTGACATTTTTTATTTATTTTGGAATTGAAGAAAAAACTTTGACCACATTAATATACGATGATGAATGGTACGAGTTAATGGAAATAGTACATGTTACACTTATGTTGGAGGAGAATTTTCATTTAATCTTAATATTAAAGTTCTAATCACGCGTGTTTCATAGATAGTAAATTGCTATGTGACACTGTTACGCGTGATTCATGATTCGCTTGATTAGATAATAAATTGCATAAATGCGATTGGTCAGCAGTATCAGTATATCTAAAATGATAGTCGAATCAAATAGTATAAAATTGTATTTGACATTGAATTTTCCATAATTAGATTCGCTTGATATTGAAAGAGAGCTAAAAACTCTCGTAATGGCTTAATAAAACTATCTATTTATAAAAGGAATCTTTTGCACCTTTATCGTTAATTACTTGCATATGGTATGGTCAAAGTATTGCGTGCTAAAATTTTTATCAAAGAAATTACATTCTACGGCTATCAATGATATGCCATATAAATATTAGGATTCTCGACTAAAAGTCAAGTTATTCACCGAATTATTTTGAATTGGTCCTCTTTTTATGGAGTTGTTATCTCACAGATAGCCCTTTAAATGATTTTTTATCCATTACTATTTATTTCATGATAGGTGATGTTGCACGCCAAGATATCAAACTGCCATCCCTTGAAATTCATAAATTTAACCAATAGTAATAGTGACATCCTTGTTGAACCCTGCTCAATTTTCTAAAGGTAAATTACGTGAGATGCGTTCAGACAATCATATACGTATTCTGGTGTATAGTAAGCAACCACTGAAAGTATTTTTTTCTTTTAAAATCCTTTGGGGAATAAAAATTGGAGAAACTCATCCCTAGTAACATATACTCATCCCACAGCAAACAATATTTATTTAATAATAAAATACACATTTATATAGTAAGAATTAATAAAGATTTGTTAAAATATTTTTGATGTAGTCTTCAAAATGTAAATTTGGTGGTTTCAATCATTAGTAGAAGATAATGAAAATTATAGACTTTCGACAAAGTCAAAAGTACTTTTATTCGTGATGATTCATGTCAATTGAATGTAATGGAAGGCATAATGATTTAATAGTTTATGGTTAAACCCCCCAAAAGACATGGATCCTGATCCGGTAAATGAAGAAGACAAGGTATGGATTCCATTACTCCATGGTTATTCTATTTTAACAAGGAAGGAAATATATACATTTGCTTATTGGATTAAAGATAACAAAAAATTGTAGTATATGAAAATTTTGAAAATGATTCCACATTCACCAATTCAAAGGAAATAAGACATTATAATCATGTTTAGAAAATTTCAAATATGAATTAAAAATTTCAAAAAAAATATCTGTAACATCTTTAATTGGTTTTGGTAATGTTAAAATGTTAACTACTTATGTAACAAAGTACCTGAGAAATATCTGTTCTTGTCAAATTCACATAATTCACCAGCTCCAATTGATCCAAATGACATGCTTAAAAGATTTGATGATTTTAACCAGAAAAAGAAAAATAAGGAAAGAGATGTTACTTAGATCGCATAAAAACCATGACTTCATTCTTATATTAGTATTAATAAATAAGTAGTTAAGACATTATATACATATAGACGTATATTAACATCTCACATATTTGTGATTCATCTTTATATGTATTCTCACGACGGTGTGTAATTCAATAACATTTCTAATTGTATCATGTAGAATATTTTTTGAATTTGTGTGATAATAAAATCCATAATAAACAGGCTTATCATCTAGTAGCAGCTGAAGATCTTGAAAATGGTAATGAGAAGAATACCAACAACTACTTCTAAAAAGTTGCTAAAAGCATCAGAGTTGAGATAAATGATTCAATATCATAATAATTATCTAATAATATATATATTTTTTTTAGTAGCAATGATGCATAAAATCATTAATTTATTCGGTTATAATGTTAAAGTGTTATAATGAATGCTTTTAATTGGAATTGATTAATCAGTTTAATTATTTTAATAGGATTTAGATTCCAACATCTTCATCCCCAATATCACCTTTATTTTTGCCACTATCTACATGGCGTGCAATTTTATTTTCCATCTTTAAAATGACGGATCCACCTGTCCATTCAACTGATTTTTCATCAACTTTAGCGTAATCTTTTATACCATTTGTAATTTTTTCTATCACACCGCTGACATCAACCAATTTACTACTATTCACACTTCTACTGTGACTTATAACAATATTCAAGTCATAGCCTTCTTTTAAAAACTCGATTGCTTTATCAATTGTGTCTGATAGAACTTCCTCTCTAACTTTCCAACTAACCTTTAATTCTTTATAAACTTTATTGTTGTTGCCATTACTTAAATTTTGATTTTCGTTAAAATATTTCTTATTGAATGATTTTTTATCAATCAATTTACAAATTGGTGAATAAGACGATGATGATGTTGATGACTTATTGTAGTTATTATTATTATTAACGTCTGATAATTTATTATTGGTATTGTTTATGTTGTTGCTAACTTCAATCAAATAATATTTAGATCTATCAAAAGATGATAAAATTGATTTTAATGATTTATCACCAACAAATTTACCAAATTCATCAATATATTTTATTGATTCTGATGAAATTTCATCATCAATTCTTGGTATTTTTATTCTTCCTCTTAATAACGAATTTGTTTTAAATTGATGATAAAATGTTTTTATTAAAACATTTTTACTATTAGGACATTTATGCTTTAAATTTACTATCATCACTCACTAGTTATGTATATAATAAGTAAGTGTTAATTTTATTAATTGCAACGGTGTGACGAATATATTAACTGCGGTTAAGGATTTTCCTCAACAACATTTCACACCAACACTTCCTAAAGTACTTACTAGTACTAGATACAAACAAGCTAAATCGAGAGATGTAGAAATAGAAATTAGCTTTTAACAAGCCAATAACTCAAAGCTGTATTAGAATTAATTAAATGTTTCAAGGTTAACCAAATGTTAATAACAATTTTATTTATTAGTTAAATTATAATTTACCAGATCATTTATACTGCTAAACTCTTTCAAGATGGAGAGGATTATTGGGTGACTCTATAAAGCAATTCAAAAAGACAACTAAAAATTAAATTGTATAATCAAACGAAAACACATTGTGCAATATTTGTTAACAAAGGAGAGAAAGGAGCTAGTTTTTTTCCTTGGAAAATATTTAATATACAACAAAATAGCAACAACGCAACTAAGAATATCAACAAAGTTGTTGTGATTGTATTTGGGAAATTAACAAGTGGAAAACATTATATAATGAATGGCCAATTATTTCGTTAAATTTCCCTGACTAGAAGAGACTCCCATTGGATCTTTTCGTTAGAGTGTGCCGAAGAAGTGTTATCCAGTATATATTGATGGTTTGTGTAGGTGCGTGTATAGGGTTCTCGAGAAGGCGGTAAAGATGGATAAGAAACTGAGAGCAATCTTGATGCATAAGCAATAGCAATGGCAGTTTCTGAATAAGGGTCAAGGCTTTATGAATTCTCTTTAAAAAGCTTTCTTTTCAATTTCACATCATTTATATAAAACCAAATTTTATCTCTTTTTATTTATTTTTTTATTATTATAATTATTCCAAAATATTATTTTCGCATAATATTTTCTTTGTTTTTTCGTAAGCTCCTAAAAATATACATCCACCAATTGATATCCACAAAACACGAGGACCAATACCAGAGAACAATTTTCTTGCGCCTTCTTCTTTTATGATTCGATTGAATGTATCAACAACTCCTCCAGAGTAATTATGAACAATTTGATTCTATCAATAAATCAATAATTAATTAATGATAAATATTATTGATAATAATAAGTGGAAGAAGGAATTATGAATTTAATTACTTTTGCCGATAACATCACACGAGTCTTTACTACATCCAGAGGCGTAGTAAGTCCGGCTGCTACACCTCCAGCTATTGATCCACAAATAGAAGCTTCCCAAGGTTCAATTTTTGATCGGTTTGTAATTTGTGCAGTAAAAACTTTTAAATATTCATATAGTGGGAATTGTATGCAGGTGAATGGTATCTAGAAGATAAATAAATATAGAAATGAGAATGTGAGGGAAAATAGAGGAATTAACAATTTATAGAAAATATAAATCTCTTCAATCAAATAATCAAATGATAAAATAAAATTGTATATATATATATAAGTATAGTTGTAGCCTTTTACTTAATCCATACATCGTCTATACACATATTTTCAATATCATTGATTCTGCAATTAATCATTTTTATTATTGCTATATCTTATTATTAATATTCTCTAATTTGATTAGTGTGTATATATATATATATATCTAGCATATAATACTAACTTCTCTAAACACAGTGCTCAAGTATCCGCGATAAAATCCTTGGATTCCTTCTTGTTGAAATATAGATCTCAAAGCAAATAGTGTTGAATGATATTGTTTAGTTTGCATTCTTTGTTTAATGACTTCTGTTGGAACTCGGATAATGCATGCAGACTTTTTATATTATCATATCATTATCGTTATGTTATTATAAGAGGTCATTAATCAGAAGAATTAATATTGTAATTGTTATTATTGTTATTATTAATATACTTGCAATTTCACCACCTGACGCAGCAACCATATGAATTAATGGTAAATATTTTAATTTATAATCATTATGAGATTTATTAGAATTTCCTTCCATATTTATTAAACCTTTTTTTAAAAATTCATATGTGACAAAAAACGCTGATGCTATAATCAATAAAAAATTTATTTATAAATTAAAATATAAAAAGATTGGATTAAAATTTAAAATTTTGTCATTATAATAATAATAATCATACCTCCAGGAGCACTACCAATTATTACACTAGTTATTCCTGAATATATTCCACGAAAACTGCCTGCTTTGTATAATCCCAATTTTGATTGCAATCTTGTTTTAATCGTGTCTAATGGATATAATATTGTGTCAACCGCTGTTCCTGCTATACCACCAGCCTTATATTATATATATTGAAAAGTTTTATTTATTTAAGTCATTTTTTGATAAAAAATAACAATCGATAATTTGTTACCACTAGAGCTTGCTTCATGTTTATTGTATATTCTCTTTTTTCCATATTTTAATTTTTCTGTCCACAAAAAAATTTTTTAATAATCCAGTAATCACATGTAATGTATTAATTACACGCAATTAATTTATATATCAGTTATAGCTTAGTTAAGTTCATACATTTTTATCATCCATACAAAATTTTATTTTATAAAATAAAAAATTGCTTACTTTCAACAGAGAACTTTTTTGCAGGTTGTTGATTGGGCTTGGACTTGGCTTCTTGTTTCATTATAAAATATGCAAAAACCAACCCTATGATATAAATCAAAACAAAAATAAAAACAAACAGACCGGGTTGAATCCGGATTTTTTATTTAGTGAAATGGCGATTGGCATCTGTGAATAACTTGAAGGAAGAAAGGGAGTCGTTGTTTTTACTCTTTTCTTCTAGGATTTGTTTTTCGTTGGTAAAAGCTTTTGCATCAGAGGCAATTCAGTAATAGATCAATTAAAGAAAATAATAAAGAAACGGAGAAAGATGTGACATAGAAGAAGAAAATATTATGATATTATTGGTAGTAATAATAATGTAGCATCAATGGCTTTGGAGTAAGATCCAGAACAATACATATAGAGGTAACAGATAAATTCAAAAATTTTATAATAGCTCTAAGCAAGGTTCTTACTAAAATGAATAAGCAAATTTTATAACATGACCTCAAAAATTTACCCATGAATAAACAACACAACTAAAAGTGATTTATTATGAAATCTTTGATAATCAATAATATCATCCTGACCAAAATATTCATTTTTCATCTCCTAATAGTTTGAGAATATTATCATTAATTAAAACTTTTGATTCGGAAATATGATAGATGGTACATGATGTGTTAAAATATTACATTTTTCCTTAACTAAATCACTAAAAATATCGATATGAATAGGAATGTACACATAGGGATATATCATTAATAGTTTCAATCAGTTCATTTGTATGACAATACTTGACATATTGCACAATTGACGTTTTTTTGAATATTGACATGTATTTTTTAACGCGCGTTTTTGAAAATTCGAGAGATCGGCAATTCAAAATCTTTTTTTTTTTGATAAAAAATGTTTCGTCAAGTTAAAAAAAAGTATGTAAAAAATTATTAATCATTCATCAAAGGTTATTACTTATTTATTTATTTGATTAATTAAATAAGCATAATAAGATTAAACAACAACAACATCAACAACACTAACAGTACTTTCACCAATTTTTTTAACAAGGTTTTAAAACTTTTGGTTTGGTTTAAAGAGTTTTTTATTATTAATTTTTGATTTTAACATGACATGTTTTCTTTATAATTATAATTTTATCAGAAAAACAAATTGTCACCGGATATAATAGTATACAGATGCCAAGGATTTTCTACTTTTAGAACCAATAACAATGTCAACAATAATATCAACATCATTACTAATACTGCTGCTATTGCTTCCACAATTAACAACAACGTTTGTAACAATAGCTATGGTAGCATTATAAGGAATGAATTCTTTACAAAAAAACGATCAATTAAATCAATTAAAATAATAAAATCATTTCGTTTTTATTCTACAACAAATTCATCTTTACAATCTAATAATAATCAAAATATTGCAAATAATATTAATGACAATCCAAATCCCAATTCTGATTTATACGAGGCTTTCGAACCATTAACTGATAATATCGATTTATCATCATCATCTACTGTTGCAGGAGATAATATATCAGTATTAACTGAAACAGCTATGAAAATTGGCGACCTGAAAGCATTGGGATTGGTGAACTCTACACCAGTAGGATTTATTGAAGGATTACTAGAAACATTACATGTTACATCAGGTTTATCATGGTTTTCAACAATAGTAGCAGCAACATTTTTATTACGTATGGCATTTTTACCTTTTTTAATCAGTTCACAACGTCATGTTGCAAAATTTCAGAAAATTCAACCGGAATTCAACGCACTGAATGACCAATTAAAAATTGCTAAAGAATCAAATAATCCAGCAAGGTCATTAGAATTAAAGATGGAAATTATTGATTTGTATAAAAAACATAATGTTAGCCCATTTAAAGGCCTACTAACTGCACTTGTTCAAGCACCAACGCTACTTTGTTTTTTTTTGGCTTTAAGAAATATTTCCAAAGCTGATGTACCAGATCTTAAAATTGGCGGTATCTTATGGTTTCAAGATTTATCTTCACCTGATCCTTACTACGTTTTACCTGTCCTTGCTACTGCAAGTTTCTTTGTAATGATGGAGGTAATAATAATATGTGTATATTGAAAATAATAATAATTAATGTAAAGAAAACTAATATTTATTTAATTTACTAAAAAAGATTGGATTGAGGACAGCACCTGCTAGTTCTCCAAATTTAAAATATGCCAATTTTTTCCGTGCATTGACTTTAGTTTCACTTCCAATTGGAATTACATTACCTTCAGTAAGATTGTTATTAGTTGATTGAATATTACTATTATTAAATTATTATTATATTAATTAATTGACTGATTGATTAAATATTAACTATCATTAATTATCAATTAATTAACCACTCATCATCAATATCGTGGAAAAATAAAAAGGCAATAATAGTACATCTTATCAGCTCAACAGTAATTGGTACATTACAAACAATAATATTAAACAATGAAGATTTTCGACGTAGTGTTGATTTACCAGTACTTGAAAAACAACCAAAAGATCTCTTTGATGCTAAAAGCATTGCCACTTATAATCCACAGAAAAAAAATCTAAAGGGTCGGAAAGTTTATCCTAATAATAACAGTGATTCAAAGTTGGAAAAATAATACGAATGAGTAAATGAATGAATGCATGTACTATACGAATGAAATTACGGAATTGATGATGGATGAATGGATGGAAATTTTTTTAAAAAAAATAAGGATAGAGTGTACGTAACACGAAGTTTACTATGGTGGATAATTTTTAATAAAATGAAAATTTATTCTTTTAAAAGAATTCCCGTTTTTTATTGCTATCGTGTCTTCTTTTAAACCAATCATTACTATATTCAGTCTCGTTGTGACTACATTAACGAATGCGATCGTGACAAATGCAGTAAACATTATTTTTTGTTTGTCCGAGCGCAAATCAATAAAGATTTTCGTTTAAAAAGATAAAAGATAAAAAAGAATAGAAATTTTTGAATGCGAATCGATGGTATTATTTTATGATAATAATAAGAGATGTGTATAAGAAAGAAAAGTTATTTCAAATTTGTATCAGTTATTAATTTCTACATTTCGTCTTTTGAACTTAATTTCACTATTATAAGAATTTTCGATTGATTCATTCAACCATTTCATCTTAATTCACGTATCTCATCATTACATTATTGCTAGAATTTTCAACTGACTTATTTAATCGTTCAGCATTTCTTTCAGTTCCTCTCCATTAGGGATGTTAACTATCCGGACCGTTGGGTTGGTCCGAAGCCAAACTTAGGATTTCTATCCGAATAAAACAAATGAACCAAATAAACGAATAAAACAAATCTCGAATAAAACAAATGGCGCGAATAAAACGAATAAATCACGTAATTCGAATAAACCAGATAAAAAATAAATCAAGTAATTCGAATAAACAAATAATTCAAATGATTTGAATAAAACAAATTATTCGAATAAAACATATAAAACAAATAATAAAACGAATATTTCGAAAAATTTGTATAGAAGGAATGGGGATTCATAGAGACAATGAATGAATTTTGATTTATATAAAACTATATTTTTTTTTTTTGAATATACCGTAAAGTTTCAAAAGATAGAGCGCTATCTTCTGAGACTTTAAGGTATTGATAATTTGGAATTGAGTGATATTTTTAGCAGATTGAAATAAATGCTTTTATGATAAAAAAATTCAACGGTCTAAACGTCTTTAATACCTAAGACCAGACACGGTCCAGGCCGTGGCCCATTCAGTCTGGACCGGCCCTATTAGACTGACGGTTTTTGGACCGGTCCAGACCGTTAACAACCCTACTCTCCTTTTATTCTACATTCTCCAAAAGTCTGTAATGCCATGGATGCACATCATGTTCTATTTTTAAACTTAATTACGTTATTATTAGAGTTTTCAATTTGTTCGTTCAATGGTTCGGCCATATTCTTCATTCTTTAGATTCGTTTCGATTATTCCATGTTCTCTCATACTCAATAAACATTTATCATGCCACAATCCCAAACCGTTTTTTAATTCCTGTATCCCATCTTTTAGCTCCCGTATTTCATCTTTGGTCATTTCCAATCGATCCATTCAGTCGCTCAGTTCACCTTCAATTATTATACTCCCATCAGAATTGTTCACACCACCGATCTCCCTCATTTTCTAAAATTTCAATTTCAAAACTATTCTTCGTTCCTGAATTGATCAACTCTTCTTACTTGGGTCCCTTTTTTTTTAAAGAAAAAAAGGAAAGAAAAAGAAAAACCAAAAACAATTAATAAATAATTTCAACAACATAATGCAATACGAATATGAATATGAATGTGATACTATATTCGTACATATGCTCTACTCAATAATGCCTTCGATATATTTTGTGACAATAGTGCTTCATATTTTTCAAATTAAAGACTCCGAGATTTACACATGTTCTCTTCCTCAAGTTCTTTACAGCGATTCTTAATGCCGTTAACTCTCTATCGGAATTTTCTTTTTGTTCTTCGTCGTTGGCTACTTCAATATCTGATTGTAGCCACGAGTATTTTTGTCTAACTTCTCAGAATATTAGTTTGAAGGTTATCGTTATCATCATTTTGGTTCTTTCACACGATAGCCTAAATATCATATAAAAATCAAAATGTGGAGCAAAATTTATGTACAGGTAATTATATAATATTCTTTATCGTCATAAATGATTGGTATGCTTGTTTTGCATTTACTCATCATTGATATTAAATAATTATAAGAAACGCTAAAGGTGAAAAAGGCAACGCGGCTATTGAAGATCTCTACTTCTCTCTATTTCTCTCTCTATTTCTCTTTTTCTCTCGGAAAACTGCACGCATCTGGACAATTTGGAGACACCAAACAACTCGATATGCAACGTTTGATTATTAGATGGAATTAATTTGCTCAAATATTTAAACCATTACAGTCATTCTCATATATTCCTCTCAACATAACGACACAAGACTAATATGACATTAATACAACGATGCAATTATTTCAGGGAGGCTGGCCCTGGGGTTCATAGGAATTGCATCATTGTTATGGAGGCTGTTCACAGGTAGTTTATTGGCTAATTTTAGAGAAACATTAGTTAAATGGTCCAATTTACTTTTGCTTGTCCAAAGCCTTCCGACTTGTTCAATCCACCTTCACCTGTGGGATAGAAAAAATTCCATAATTACGAGGAGTCAATTGCATGATTGAGAGGGGGAGGTTATTGAATCTGACGCATGTGATCAATATCAGTCAGATTTATTCGTTTTATTTTTTTGGGGTGGTTTTTAAAGAACTCTACAATTTGTAATTGGGAAGCACATACAGCACACGTATAGCAACAACACGCACACGTACAACGTAACGACGCGCACAAAAAAAGGAACAAATTTTTTTCTACTACCACTTGGATGACAAGGTTATGGACCATTATCCTATATATGCAAAGAGGGCATGTTCACCTTTCAATAGACTTGTATTTTTAAGGGAATGAAAATTACCACTCTGCTAAATTTTCATCTTTGCTTGTGTGGCTTTCCTAAAGTTGATTCCTTAAGTTTATTATCAATTTATTAACTCTTTGCAAATTTAAAGAATTATAATACCAAATGAATATTGTAATAGGCGATAAGACATGTTTTATTTATCTCATTCAATGATAACGAAAAACACATAATTGTTATATATAAAAATAAAAAATATTTGAGCCCAAAGCAGAATGCGAAATCCTATTATAAAATCCAGGTAGTCCGATAAAAAATTTTGGGAATCGGCCATTTTCCGATTACACGTGTATAAATTTTTAGATTAAAATTTTTACTTGTTGTTTCTAATACAATTTCTTATTCGAATCAATATTGTTATTTCATTTTATTCGTTTATTCTAAATTATTCGTTTATTCGTTTTATTCGCTTTGTTCATTTTTATTCGCTTTTATTCGTTTTATTCGCTTTGTTCATTTTTATTCGCTTTTATTCGTTTTATTCGCTTTGTTCGAATTATTCGTTTTATTCGAATTATTTGTTTTTATTCGAATTATTAGTTTTATTCGTTTTGGAAATATAAAATATTAATTCACAACTTGGTGCAATAAATTCTTATCGTTAAGGGATTATAAAATTACAATAATTATATTTACAATCTATATATTGCTACTGCTATGGTTGCCAGTACTATGACTTAAAAATAGTCAATTATTTCTGGTACCCACTATTTATTATTATTATCACTATATACAAGGACTATGAAGGAAAATAGATTGATAAAAAAATTTATTTTAATTAGATTGGATTAACAATGGGAATACGTATATTATTTTATTCAAATAAACTTGAATAGAAACCATACTACTAGTATTTAAGAAAATTTTTTTGATCCGATATTTTTTGAAGATTTCCGTTAAAATTTTCCCAAACCGGGCATTCCCACGATATTTTTGATCACACATTTCGCACCCTGGCCCAAAGCCATTAAAATATTCTTATTATGCTGCTAAAACATACTTGAGCAGGAAAAACATTCTCAATATCAAAACTATCTGATGATGTTCCACTTGTAATTAATTATTTATCATTTTTATTTTTTTTTTCGTTTTCCCACAAAAAAAAAAATAAAATCAATAAATTAAAAAAAAAAAAGAAACAATTTTACATATATATACAATATACAAGAAAATTAATAAATTATAATAATGACAATATGTATGTATATAAATAAATAATAAAAACAGTGTGTGCACGTATATATAAATGTCTATGAAATTATTTCTAATTAATTAATATATATAAATATAAATAAAACGTATATATAACAATAATAATAATCGATTCTAAATTAAAGAAGTTTTTTCTTTAATATAATATAATTTATTTATCTATCGCTCGAATATTCGTCCAATCATCTATTTAATTAATACGGTAGATTATCGGTTCCGGATTCTCTATGATAATTTGCATTGTTATTATTATAATCTTCCTCACCAATATTACTATTATGACTTCTTGAAATTGTTATGTCAGGTGGATAAACTGCCAATAAATCATCTATATGATTTAGATTATCATCATTACGTTCATAAAAATGTGATCTAAAAGATGTTGGGGTAGATGCCACTATTGTATTATTATATGATGAATTAACTGCCAATGTAGATGATGAATAATTCTTATAATTTAAATTGCCATCATCATTATTATAATTACTACTGCTGCTGCTGCTGCTACTACTACTACTAACAATAATGTCATCATAATCATCATCATTATTATTGTCGTTAGTTTTCTTATTTTTAATATCATAGTCATTGACAATTTTATGATCATAGTCAAAATCATCATCATCGCGATGATTTGTTATTGACATTATAGTAGTTGTGTCAATCCCTTCAATATTGAATTTAATCCCACTTGTTAAATCAAAATTTGCTTGTTCTGATGGTGTACGATGTCCATCTGCGAATAAGAAATTTACAACGGGGTTCTTATTATTATTTTTATTTTTATTATATAATTTATTTGATGTTGACATTATTGTTCTAGTAGTTGTGCTTGGAACTGACGTCATCATTTTACCATTATAAGTTTTGGAATTTGGCGAAGCTGGTGAATTTGGATATGAATTATTTTGTGTACTAAAAAGAAACAAATAAATAAATAATCAATCAATTAATTAACATGTATAACACATATATGATTATAACAAAAACAAAACAACAACAACAACAATAACAACACATACAAACTTGAACTAAAACCAGTATCCGTCGGTGATATAGTTCTTTCCCGGAAACAACATGGGAATATTTTGTCTAATTTTATTGAAAGTCCAAATTTACGATAACTGTTCATAGCATCTTGACCGGTCCCAAAGAACAAAAACACAAATAATCCAGTTAAAGGTTTTGCATAATCCAAAACTGAAAGGCCGCCTGTTTCAGCAGTAAAACGTGTAATTGTATTCCAATTTTTATGTACTTCATAGAAATCGTACGGAAGCAGACCATTATTCAAATTACCTAACGCTGTAAGCAATGTTGCTGGGAATGCTAGGATTAAAAATGTAATGCAAAATAGCACTAATCGGTAAAATCTTGATGCATTTAATCCTGATTCACAATATGTTAATAACGCTTGAATTTCTAATCTCTTTTTTAAAATAGTGTAAGATGTCCTTGCTAAAGGAATAAAAAATTTATCCAATTAATTAATCAATAATATTAATAATATAAAGATAATGAATGATAGGCAAATAATTACCAGCCAAATAACATCCAATTCCAGAGATTATAACAGGCCAAATACCAAGTAATACAATGTAAAGCCAACTACTATGAGCTTGTAAGAAACAGCCTAATATTGGTCTTATACTATATTTGTTTTTAAATACTAAATATCCTAACGCAGTAAGAACAACTGGCATTACTATCGATATGAATAATTCAGTGTATATTTGCCTTCTTTTGTACACCTCGGTGATGATAGTTGGATATTCCACATAGCTATATAAATTATAAATCATGCAGGTAATAGAAGCCATTAATCCCAAATGGGCTGCTACATAAATGGGCGGCGTTATATAACACCAGGCAGGAGCTTTATCTTCTAGATCGTCTGCCCAAAGAATCGAGTTCACAAACAAAATAAAATTTGTTATCGATATCCACACTGTCATCAATATTGCTCCTGAATTTCTTAACTGAATATGAAATCCTAGAGGAATCAAGATTAATATAACGGAAACAAATGTTGAAGCCGTGAAAATATAATCTACCATCTTATTATTACTGTTATTATTATATTGTTGTCGATTAGGAAAAAAATCTCTTTCCTTTAACTTTAAATCCTTTTTCCTTTTTTAACATTAAAGATATTATCTCTCTATATATAATTTTATGATGTTTGTTTGTTTTATGGAATTGGTAAACGGTATATGGTGGTTATTGACGTATTGATGGAAATGAGATAATTTAGTTAGTTGTTAGAGGATATATTCGTTATTATGTGGATATATAAATTTGATTAAAAAAGTAAATTATCGTCTTTGTTTGAGGTTAATTTTTTTAATATTTAATGATTAATTGATTAAAAAAATAGTGAATGAATGCGACAAAGAGATAAAATACAAAGAAAAAAGTAACTAATGAGTGTGGTGGAGTGGGAAAAACAAAGAATGTGTGAATATTTATTTAAATGTGTGATATTATGAAAATTTTTACACACATAAAAATTACATATGAATGTTAATTAATTAACAATTAAATTAATTAATTAATCAGTTGATATTGTAAAGAAAAAAAGAGAGATAAATAAATATGATAATTAATAATAAAATATATTAAACACAACATATAATATTTTAACTTTATTTTTATTAAAAAAAATTAACGTTTGACAATGAATCTATCAGATTTTCCATTTTAGGAAAACAAGTTAAAAAGCAAAATATGATAGGTGCAGAGGTTATATATACAAAACATTTATATTGTTTATTATTTTACATTTACTTCTACATACAGTCCCCTAAAAAAGGCAACTTGATCTTCATAAGAAGAATTAAAAAAATTATTTGTTTGAATTGAACATTCTCTACTGTAATTTGCATTTTTAAACAATTTCTAAATTATAGATCTTTCAAGAAATAAATTCCCTTTATTGGCAACATTGTTTGCATTTTTTTTTTATCATTTTGCAGTAATGATAGTCATATTGCATGATAAACGGGATCAATTTTTTATTGATACAAATACTACATATTAATATTAATGCGTAATACCGATATTAATATTCAGGTTGTGTTAAATCACGGCATCTTAAATGGCTCGCTCTAAATGACAAATTTTTGCGAAAATTAATTTGTCTTATAAAATTATCAACAGTGATTAATCAACAATTCGATTCAATATTTTAAAATGTTATCTGACCCGGTTACCCGACCCGTTCGGAACTCTATTCCCAGAACGAATGAGCGAGCAGAGTGAATATTTCTGAACCAAGAAAACTCGACTTTTACTAAACGTAATTTTTTGGGAAGGATGAATTAAAAAAAGCAAAGTGTTTCTTATCATTTTTCAATCTTTTCAAAAAAAAACTCACCTTTCAACAAATAGAGTTTTGACAAACGGATAGGATATCTGGATATTAATAATATCCGGATATCCATATAAAATATATTAATACTAATATTAATACTAATACAATATTAATATACTAATACTAATAATACTAATGCTGATACGATATTAATATTAATATAATATTGCAGTCAAAACTCGAAAGCTGAACCATTCATTATAAACCAATAACGATGCAGAATGGGTCAACCAAATCATAATAATAATTAACAAATTATCTTGTTAGGCCGTTTTTAATAATAATTTGTTGACCAATTTTAAAAATTTTGTCTTATCCTTTAAACGTCAGAGTATTAGTATTCTTTAATGGTATATGGGTAACGCAAAATAATTTTTTGATCACGAACTTGTATTCTTATTGGTCATTTGATGATCAGCAAAGTAAAAATAGTCAATCGATCAACTTTTAAAGAAGGTTTTACGAAATCTACAAGGACAACAACCAATTTCTTATTTATATTTCAATCGGCTGAATCTCAAAGATCACTTTCGTATTAGGAAGTGATACTCTCAGAAAAAGTTTTTATAGCAGAAGAAAAATTTCGGCTATCAACAGCCGATAAAATCCGGGTTATAATTTGTTTCACTAATTTTTAATATTAAGGGTAGAGTTCGGTTACACATTATATCATATAGAAATGGCAAAATGTGTTGATCATTCGAAACAAAAATATGGCACAACATGATTTAACATTCAATGCTTTTAATACATTTAATATAACAACAAATATAATTTATTCAAATATGTGATCATCTGTTATTACAATTTGTCATTAGAAAATAGATATAATAGATATATTACATTGACCTGTTGATAATTATTTATACCTTTTAGCAGAAACAGCCAAGCATTGTATTGTAGTTGTCCAAGTTTAATGATATTTTTACTTTTTCCATGATCTATATTTTATTTATTTCAGAACAAGTGATTTTATATACAATTGACAGATCAATAATAAAGTAATATATAGTAATAAATCTCTTATTTTTACATTTTACAAATCACATATAAATATTTTATATGTCCAAGATTTTTTACAGGATCTTGAGCTTAGGTGAATGAATTAATGAATGAAAGCCAACAAGTGAGTGGTGGCATTCTCAAACTTCAACCATAAATTACCAATCTAACTTTATTGTTGGATAAATTGTGAATCAAAAAATTAATAATACATTACAAATATATAAAATAATGGAAGCCTATGAATAACTACTTGAATGTACCACCATTCCAAAAAAACGTTCCTTATTTAAATTGTTTGCTCATGTAAAGAGCTTTGTAGTTGATGTTAAAATCTAGTAATGTTTCATGCCAAGGTAGTCTCATATCTATTTATTACTATACATACATGTATACATACATACTGTACATACTGTACATATATATATATATAATATAAAAATGAAATATTATTAGTACAACCTTGTCTTATAAAATTCTAATTTTTTTTTTATAAATCAATAGTTTTCCTTAATTCAACAAAAACATATAATAGAGGACAAGAATTTGTAACATATGTTGAACTTTACATTACCTTTTTAGTAAAACTTTATTAACAAAAGCTATTAAAAGCAAATTGTTCAATAGTTTTAATCCCAGAGAGTATACAGTCTCTGGTGAAAGTAATGGCAGTGATAATTTTTTTAAAAACTAAAAATTTTTAATAAGCAACTATCAATAAAATTTTATTTTTAAAACGCCTCTAAGT